AAGAAGAACTCTCTCTCCCTCTCTCAGTCCGGTACTAACCTGTGAAGATGGCGCCTTGTTGCAGGTACATCGAAGACGAAGCTGGAGCTATGGCGACACAGGTAAGTCTCCCTGGCCTCCGCCAACCATCTCTCTCTCTCCAACGCTACTCTAGCTCCTAATAGCGCCCAGCGCTGAAGACTACTCCTGACGCTACTACTACTACTGCAGCGCTCCTCCAGAGTGCTGCTGCCGAATCCTGAAGACTGCCTCCTGCATCCTGCACGTGAAGTGCCCGTGAACTGCCTGGGAAGTGCCCGTGAACTACCTGCAGCCTGCAGGGCGGGCCAGTCTTATGTAGTGCTGGCCCGTCCAGGAGGCTGCTCTTGCCAATGCCAAAACATGCCAGACCCTGGCGTTGAAGTTCAAACAAAGGTTGTCTTGAAAACAAGCCCAAAATGGCCTGTGCTAAAACCCTGGTCTGGTGCCTAAGTTTCAGGGCAGGTCGATCTTATGAGGGCCTGAAAATGGCCCTCGGTTTCAGGCTGAAAAAACTCAGTGTAATGACCCACCATAAAACAGACTGGAAACACTGCTGATTTCTTAAGTTCTGCCGGTGGAATGGAGACCTTGCTGAGATTCCCACGTTCTGCTGAGTTTCCTATGTCTGTATGTGTGCGTGCTCGTTGACCTGCGTGCCTGTCTGAGTGCTTGTCAATATGAGTGTGTGCGTGACCCACAAGGGTACTTGCTTGTTTGGCAGGCCCGTAGGGCCGGTACTTACCTGTGGCCGTGGCATTGAGGGTTGCAGCAGGGGAAAACACTCAAGCAGCGGAGCCAGAGGCCCGCGGCACTTAGAGCAGCGGAAAACCACTCAAGTAGCAGGTAGGCCGGTACCGCACCCAGTAGCAGGAGATGTGCCGGGTACTCGAGGCCGAGCAGAAGAAGACAAAGTTGGCATTTTTAGAGGCCCAGTAGCGGTAGGCTAGGTCTAGCTCGGTACCAATCCATCCAATCTGAGTCTAGAGCCTGTACGGACAATATCAGAGTCTGCAATGATGTTTCCCTCCGAAAGGGTGTAGGTACCGGTTGCTAGAGCCTGTACGGACAATATCAGAGTCTAGAGCCACTACGTAATTGCAGTCAGATACATTTAGGGGGGTGCGGGTGCGAGTATGCCCTAACTAACCCAAATGCCACCGCATTGATTTCTCAAGTCTTTTCGATTTCTCAACTGTTTTTTTTCCCTTTTATTGAGTCAACAAACCCTCCCCATGGGCCTGCTAATCCTACCAGCCAAACCGGAGTGCCAAACCAGGATGCCACTGCATTGATCTTTCACCCCCACCCCCAACAACCCCCTTCAACCCCGCGCGCCCCCCCCAAACAAACAATCCCTGTGGCCCTGCTAATATTACTTTACTACTGCCCAAAACCCAAGGGCCGGGGCACTTACCCCAGATGCCACTACACACGTTGATTCTTTGACTACCTTTTTCGTTCCCCCACCCCTACTAAACCCAGGGCAATATAACCCTCCAGATTGCCCTACCTGTAGAATGGTCCTGCATCGTTCATGTGAAACCCTCCAACCCTCCAGAAACCGTATCATGGAGGAGGGGTGCTGTTGCATTCATGTGACGTCAAGCCCTTTGGGAAGAGAGACTCCCCGGACAGGACGTCCTTCGTCTGGCTTGTTGAGAGCGAAGAAGGTCGGGGCAACCTGTCCGGAAATCTGGAGAAGTCGTCGCAAAAGGCAAAAAGGGACGGGTTTGTAAAAGAAAAGGTATTTTTTTAAGTCTGGGATCATCATCAGCATGGGGATACCACTTGCACACGTGTCAACAACTGGAGCACAGGTTGGATAGGAGGAGGAGGGCAATTCCAAGACAATACAAAAGAAAGGTGCGTGTGGGGGAGAGCCCTGATCACTGATTATCAGCCTCACATCCTTGCCTCCAAAGATTATAGACCTGGCCTCCACACTACAGGGCTTTTTTCTTTGTTCAAGCGTCTGAGTGGCGGGACTTCGAGAATGATGATGATGGCATTATGACCCAGGGCATCAACCGCACCCCCCCACAAGTTCCCTCATCATCCTAAGAACATGGTGTTCTCATCATACCAAACTACCAATAATTTTGATGAACCAAAACTTCTTTTTTGCTTTTCCTTTTCTTTCCTTGAACAAGGGGTGATATATTCTATATGACTTTGCTCATGGGCGTATCGCTCACTTACTGCAGAGACGCGCCCTACGTTATAGACTCCAACCCTACCTCTACTGCAGAACAGGAAACACTGTGAATATGCACAACGAACGCGACCTGAAAACCACTACTACTGTGGAGTTGACCAGGAACAGTGAACCACGGTTGGACGGAATGGTTTTGGTAGCACAGCAATGTGATCACAACTTCACAGCACTGTCCAACCTCTTCTGGTCATCAGCATTCTCTTCCACCCATACCCACCCATACATAAAACCCTTCCCAATGTGTCATGACGATGATGATACTACTGGAGCTACTCCCCTGCGGCGAGCCCTATAAACCCTTTTTCTTTCTTTTTTTCTTTTATTAATTTGGCCCATTTCTCGATTTATGCGTGTCGTCCTTGCGCAGGGGCCATCCTAATATTCTCTGTATCGTTCCAATTTTAACAGATGTCCCGAAGGACAGAGCCCAATAAACCCTAAACAAACCATAAACCATAAATCATTAACCATCATAAACCATCCCTAAACCATAAGCCGGCCCTAAACCCTTAACCAATCCTCAACCCTAAACAAACCCTCAACCTCAAACAAACCTTAACCCTAAACCAACTGTAAATGTTAAACCCACCCTAAACCCTAAACAGACCTTAACCCTAAACCAACTATAAACCCTAAACCCGCTCTAAACCCTAAACCCAACTGAAACCCTAAACCCACCTGAAACCCTAAACCCTAAGCAAACCCTAAAACCGAGAACCTAAATCCTAAATCCTGATCCTTAGGGCGAGACTACAGATGGCCTTCCTGTGTTTTTCAGCATGGAAGCCATTTGCGGTGTAGTGTTTTCGAGTGTACGACCATGGAACATTCTACGTGTTCTGTTTACCCCCCTGATCCTCCCTGCATCATCATCAGTATCATCCCTCCACTGTATCTGCTGTGTGAAGGCATTTTAACCCCCTACCTTCTTCACCCCGATAAAGCATACGGACATTAAGCTGTACTCAGTGCAACTTTTCAGTGTAGACACGGTCACCTTCCCCCCCTCCTTGATCCTCCCTATCATCATCAGTATCATTCCTGCACTGCATCTGCTGTGTGCAGACTGTTTTAACCCCTTACCTTCGTCCGCCCAATAGAGCACTCGGGCATTACGCTGTATGTACCCAGTGCAACTTTCAGTCTCCCTTCATCATCATCAGTATCATGCCTGCAGTGCATCTGCTGTGCAAAGGCTGTCTTAACCTCCTACCTTCTTTCCCCCCATAGGGCATACGGGCAGTAAGCTCTACCCTGTGCAGCTTTCAGCGTAGACACAGCAAATGACCATGCGTTCTCTTCGGGTGCAGATGGCAGCCCCCTATGTTCCATGCTCTCATGCCGCGTCTCCACGTGATTGCCTGTATTTTTCGTCTCGTTCTGTTTTTCACCGAGGTGCAAGTGTGCTTCTGGTGAGCACTGCGCTGTGCGGGAAGTTGCCGCTCAATCAGGCAAGTGTGGGAAACCTTACATGCAGTAGACGGAAAAAAAAAAAAAAAAAAGGAGACGAAAACAACCAAAGGAAAACCTAAAAGACAGGACAGAAGAAAGCAGAGAAACCCATGAAAGCGTGGGTTGGCTTTCCTTGTGTCAACAGTATGTCGGTCTCACTTACTTGCTCACCTGCTTATGCTCTGCAAAAGCTATCTCTTCTGTCCTGCTCATCTTTTGCCCCAGCCCTTACCTCCCACACTCCTTTGGCCACCATCCAGTCCAAAGGATGATGCTCCCTTCCCCCTTCCGTCGCATGCTCCACCATCACCGCCCCAATTAGCAGTCCTGCCTCCTGCAGCGGTCTTGACCTTCTCTCCTCCTCCTCCTCCTCCTCCTCCTCCTCCTCCATAGCCACCACCATCATCATCATCAATATCTGGCCGCCGCCTCTTCCACCTGGCAGCCGACTCCTTGCCACCGAGTTCATCATTTGCTATTTCTTCCTCCCCCCCACCACCAAAACCACCACCACCACCACCATCATTATCATCATCCAGATCATAATACAAATCACCTTGTTTGCCGCAGCGAAGGCCAAGACGTTCGAGAATAATCGCCTCTTGTGCAGCATACCAGGAATCGGGATCGGTCTGGAACGCGGAATGGAGGGCATCCCCTCCGTCGTGGAGGATTGCAGACGTAGTCATGGACGATTCCACACAGAAGATGGCCATCACGGCATCGACACGTGTCACCTCGTTGCGGAACATAAGCCGTGCGTGCGCATGAGCGAGTCTGATCAAACTCTCCAGCAACCGAATTGTCGTCCTGGCGGCGTTGCGTGCCGCATCCCTTCTCTGCAACTGGTAGTACCCGCTGATTACTACTTCTGCCTCGTCGGTGAGCACAGGCTGAAAAGCCGACCTTATATAACATATATAACTCCTAAGCCTGTCGATAGTCCACAGGGATGCCGATGCCGATGGTGATGATGATGATGATGACGGTGCACTGCCCCCCCTCCTCTTCCTCTTCCTCTTCTTCTTACCAAGACCACCTCCTCCTCCTCTTCCATCTCCGCCCTCCTCCTCCTCCTCGTCCTCCTCCTCCTCCTCCCTTTGTTCCTCCTCCCCCTCCTCCCCCGGGAATGACGAGTGGGGATTGCCGCAATTGGACGTGTTGTTGCCCGACCCATGATGCTGACGACGATTACCACTTCTGGAGTGCTCCGCCAGAATATGTCCCGACACAACCTTATCCCAATCGGGATCGTTCGTGTCAAGCAGCACGAGCACGATGTCAAAGCGGCTGAGCAGAGGAGAGGAGAGCGCACAGTTCACCGACAGACTCTCCTGCGGATCGTAGCTTCCCTTAGGGTTTGTCACCGCGAACACTGTCGTCCTCGTGTTTAGCGTCGTCACGAGTCCCGCCTTCGCTACACTTAGGGTTTGCTGCTCCATGGCCTCGTGTATGGCCGCTCGATCGGCCTCGCTTATGCCGCCGAACTCGTCAATGCAGCAGAGGCCGCCATCGCCGAGGACGAGAGCACCTGCCTCAAGCACCCAATCCCCGCCATCTTTGCGCGCGGTAACGGTCAGCCCCGCGGTCGTGCTGCCCAGACCGGTCGTCATCACCGACCGGTGGCTCAACCTGGCTGCATACTTGAGGAACTGCGACTTCCCCGTGCCGGGATCTCCGACTAGGAGCAGGTGCGACTCGCCTCGGATCCGAGTGCCGGAGCCGTCGACACGTGGCACTCCGCCAATCAAAGTCAGCGCCACTGCGAGTTTGACCGTGAACAAACCGAACACCTGCGGGCAAATCGCCCTCAGAATCTCGTTCCGCCCCTTCATCGGACGTTCCGCGTGCGTCTTCCAGAACTCCCCAAATTGCTCCACCATCTCCTCCGACACATCCACAACCGACTTGCACTCGTTCAGCTTCGTCAGGTTGTTGGCCTTCAAGACCAGATCGACATCGCAGCGAGCTTCGACGCTGACGGATCGCCACCGGGTGAGCAGGACGCCAGTGACCGCCACGTCATCGCCGGCCTTGATGACATCCACCAGGTCGTCTTCCAGGACCAAAGGAATGGATCTCGGGACGGAACCCATGCCCAACGCCTGTACCTGCTCTTGGATCTTCACCTCCTGGTAGTCCCGCCGCCTCACCGACCCCTCCACAAGCTTGAACCGCGTTCCTTTGCATCGATTGGTCCGTTGCGATGGGCACTGAACTGGCAGCTGGACCACATTACCTTGTTCTAATTCGGGCGCAACCAGGAACTTGTGCTGACACTTGGCGCACTCGTACTCCCTCTCCGCTTCGAGCACCTTGATTGTTCCTGTCCGGATGACAGTTCCCTTGACGGTGATCAAACGGGCGAGATCCTTGCAGCGAATGCGAGAGATTCGAGGGAACACTTCGAGGCAGTCGGCGGCCGATCCGTGCATGATGATTCGCGCGTGAACGTTCTCCTTCACACCTGCCACGTCATCATCCTCATCATCCTCATCAGCAGCAGCAGCATTACCACCACCACCACCACCATCGCCGCCGCCGCCGCGACGCCGACGATGACGATGACGTTTATTGTTGTTGTTGTACACTTCGTTCTGGGCCTCCACAATGGCGGCATCGAACAGAGGCAGGAGTTTCCTCGGATGAAGGTATAGCAGCGTTGCAAGCGCAGGGCTAGATTCGAAAAGCTCGGCGTAGTAGATGTGAAGAGGGTAGTGGACAGAATCGTCTTCTTCGAGCAGCAACTGATCGAGATCCGCACCGTGATGCCGCAATACATATTGCTGGAAAGCTGCCACGTACTCCGAGTCGAGGACGGCAACCCCGCCATCGCCATCTTCGTCTTCTCCTCTCTGAGACGCCATCATGGCAGCGTGCCTTAGTCAACCACCACCCTTCCACACCCCTCATGCTCTCCACATGAGAGGGGGAGGGGGGGCGGCGGGGAGGGGGGAAGGGGTATTAGTCGCAGCTCGGTGGGCCGAGATGGTGTGATTGAAAGTCTCCAGCGCCTTCAATTATAAGAGTGTCATTTTTTTGTTGTTAATCACGTGTTGTAACGCATGAATGAAGCATTCCACATCCTGGGCATCGCCACAACACTCTCGAAACGTGCAAAATGAGAATGAACTTTCCGGTAGAACACGACCAGATGCACCCTCCACATTTTTGTCTTTTTCACATTTCGAGAGTGGTGTGGCGAGGCCGCCTATCTGCTTCGCATTTGCTGTTCGCTACGGGGCATTCGAACACCCCTACGACGTAGTAATGTCATGAGAGCCATAATGCTGAGGGTGCATCTTGGAGGATTTCCTGGAAGACGAGGCAAAAAGCAAACAAAGCGGAACGTGTCAGAATCACATCTTGCGCAGCCGCATGTGTCAGAATCACGTCGTGCACAGCACAGCGAAGTCTCTCTCTCTCTCTCTCTCTCTCTCTCTCTCTCTCTCTCTCTCTCTCTCTCTCTCTCTCTCTCTCCAGGGGTCATGCTAATACTCTCCGTATCGATCCAATTATTACGGAGTTCATTTTCAAAAAGGGTGCGAGAGAGAGAGAGAGAGAAGAGCCCGTAGCGGCATTCCACATGAATTGCTGCCCCCGCTCCCTCCCTTTGCAGATGCTCTCTCTCTCTCTCTCTCTCTCTCTCTCTCTCTCTCTCTCTCTCTCTCCACATCCAGAAAATGGTTGTCCGCTAGATCCAAGCTGGAAAATAAACGAAAGAAAAGGTGGCAAATACCGAAAATCGACAGAAAGGAAAGATAAACGAGTACAGGGGAGGGTAAACTCACCTTCAGTCATCGTAGCATGGTCGTCTGCAAGCCTCAACCCTGTACACAGCACGGCGACCAACCTTCCCGTGCACATCCCAACCTCCACCAAGTAAAATCGCTCGGTGGCTCCCAACCACAACCATCAAACCGAACTGAAACAGCAACAAACCTTCTGCACGTGTGGGTGTTCGTGTGCGACAAAATAAGCAAGACTGCGTTGTCGGGCTTCGATCGATCACTCCCCAAATGCGCAAAAGACGAAAAATATGGCGGTGTATCTTTCCACCTTCTAGCAGCATATATGAGCGCGTTGCGGCCGACTCGCGAGGCGATCGTGGATTCCAGCGTCGCTTAGCGTCCAGCGTAGCGTAGAGTCCTGTGACGCATGGCGGAGCGTGGCATTAGAATTGACCCTACCCCTCCTCACCCGAATACAATGTGCCGTCACTATAGCTGTATTTTTGGGGTATCATTTTAGTCCAAATGCAGCACTATAGCTGTATTTGGGGTATCTTTTTAGTCCAAATATTTGGGGTATCTTTTAGTCCAAATGCAGCAACAATGACTGTACGTTGTATTCGGGTGACGGAAGGTAGCACAGGCCCTATTTTTTGGGGGGAGCCGTCCGAAAAAACTTTCGTTGGCGAACTGGGCCGTTTAGAATCGAGCGTGGGGGGGCTTTCAGATGGGGGTCAGTAAATAGGGTTGGGTAGGGGTTTAACGCCCACTCCGGGATTGCCCCTGATCCGCCTAGCCCTGGGCAAGCTGGGCCAGTCAGGGCTTGTCCGTTGAGTCTGCCTAACTCTGGTGCCTGGGTAGGAATCTGGGTAGCAATTGCGGGGCTGATAGGATACTACTTGTGTCTGGCATGCGAAGTTCCTGGGTGACAAGGCTCACTCGTCTGTGCTTCAACTAGGGCCGGGGAGGGGTCAATACCCGCTCCCGGCTTGTCCGTGATTCACCTTAGCCTCGGGTAAGCTGGGCCAGTCCAGGCTTGTCCCGTTGAGCTTGCCGAGCCCTGGTCCCTCTAACTGCTATTCGGTCCAAGTCATGCTCTGAGATAACGAGCTGATAGTCCAAGGTGATTAACACTGAGGTAGGATAGTAGGAATAGGGGGTGCGCAGGGAGAATGATGAGAGGATGGTCCGGGAGGTGGTCTCACAAATTGAACTATTGCCAGGACAACCAATGGCTGGCTGGCGCAGCAACCACCGTGTGTCTCATACCTGGCCTCTACAAAAAAAAAAAAAATCAAGCGTAGCACAGGACCTATCTTTTGGCGCCCCCGTCCGGAAAAACTTTTTTGTTGGCCAATAGGGCCCTGCGAATGGCCGTCAACACAACGGGTGGAACACTTGTTGGAAATGTGCATTGCTGTTTGAAGTTGTAGGTTCAAAACTGTGCAGCGCTGCACATGACCCTTGGGTTGGCTTACCATGGACTAGGACTACAGACAACTGCCTGGTACACCCAAAGGGTTCAGTCAAGAGGTCTGCCCCATGTTCTTGGTCCATGGGTTGTTCTGACAAGTGTTCACACAGTGTTCACACACTAGTCTCCAGCGCACAAACAGACTAGTTGTTGTTGTAGCTCAGTGGGTTTCAGCTAGAGGTTGTATAGAAGAGGTTGAGGGTTCGCATCTGATCAGCCCAGGTGGAGCCTTGGGTTCAGTGCATGGTTGTCCAATGCTGGGGTTTAGGCTATGAGAGGTATGCCTGATCTTCTTGGTCCAGGGTTTGTTCTGATAATTGTTCACGCATTTGTCTCCCAGTCTAGTACAACATACAAACACACTGGTTGTCATTGTAGATCAGTGGTTTGAGCTAGGAGCTGTCTAGAAGAGGTCGAGGGATTGAATCTGGTCAGGCCAGGCAGAGCATATCTGCATAGAAATAATTACGATGCAGGCAGGGAGATTGTGGTGGGATTGATCACGTGTTACCTTAGGGCCTTGCTTTGGGGGGGCAGGGCCGCAGGTGCGATGATAGGGGGGTCCCGTTAGTGGGGGGATTAGGTAGGAGAGTCCTGAGGTAGGACCTCCCTTGGGGAAAAACCAGAATAAGGCCCAGTCATTGATAGAGGTAACTTGAAGTGGTGGCCTACCTTCTTCCCCTGAACATAACGCAAATGCGTTGTAAACAAATACAACGCATAGGGTTCCGTCTATTCGAATACAACGCATATGTGTTATATTTGAATAGCCCTAAATTTTAAATACAATGCATATGCATTCTATTCGATTTTTTTTTTCCAAATTGAAACTATAATATAATGCATATGCGTTATGTTCGGGGAAGGAAGGTAGGTAGTACATACCAATGACTGAGAGCGGTGCTACTCTAGACGAGGACTCTAGGGGGGATTGTGACGTGCGAGCTTATATCACTATGCGGTTTTTTGCGCCCCTCTCCATTTTCTTGTCTTTAAAAGGGGTTGTACACCATATTTTCGGTTAAAAATTGTTTTTTCGGATTTCGGCGCACTTTTGCGGCTTTCGTCTTTGGTGGGGTATATGTGGGTTTGTCTTTACGTCATATATCAAGTTTGTTTTTCATGCAAGTTTTGGAGATGACCCTGTTATTTGTGTGTCTTCATGTCTGAGTAGAGGAAGATAGGAATCGATGTATAATTTTTGTGCGCCTTAGCGAGTGCACTCATAATTTCTTTTTGTACTTTCTAATACTTTTTAATTCCAAATTAGGCGCAAGGTTCACTAGCATTTCACGTAATTGTTTTGATGCCTTTACATTTTTCAGCAATGCATTTTTGTGCCAACTTGAATGCATTTGCTTGCAATCTTTCATGTGCTCTTCTTCCTCTTTCTTTGCGCCTTCCGCAATTAAAAATAATTGTTTTTTTCTCCCTCGCTTCACACATTTTTCTCCTTCTTGATCTCGTTGAATCTTGGTCCTACCGTACACCATCTTTTGTAACCTTTTTTCCTGCCCCCACCAACATTAAGAGGAATCTTGCTGACATCAAGTAAATGAAAAAATTGGATCGCAGCGTGGAGAGTGACTATAAAACCCTCACTCTATATTTTGATTGGCTAGGAGCACTTCTTAGGGATCGATATGGTCTCCTCGACCCCTTCTTCCTTCCCTGCTTCTCCCTTTCCGGTAACTTTTTATACATTTGTTCCTCGCCGCTTTTGCAACTATGAATCTTGCAAGTGCGTCTTTCTCGTTGTCTCTTATGTTATCAGGCAACCTGGATGATGGGGTAGTGGCGAGATAAAAGTGGTCGGCAAGTCGGAAAGTCCTCATGGTTCTGACACGACTTTGCAGGACCACACGCCTGATAGCTGAGAGGTGTTGTTCGGTGCTTGGTGACGGGGATCGTCGGTGTTGAGGGAAGGTAAGAGATGGTGGTTGATTGGTTGATATGCCTTATGTATGAGAACGGGGTGATCCAACGGTTTTCTTTTGATTTGTTGCGAATAAAATTTGCGCACCGCGAGGTGTCGTCTTCTTTATCTTCCTCTCAATTTATTTTTTTTAATCTACGAGGTTGTTGGTGGTTGAACTATATGGATATGATGCATATATGTGAGTCATTTTGCGAGTATGAATATTCCCTTGCTTTCTCTCTTTCTATGGAATGAACGTGAATACCAATGAAACGCCTACCTCCTCAAGGGAGAACAAGACATGGTGCAACATGGCGGGCAAAAAACTAGAAACTTAAGTATTGTTGTGACAATGTTTTTTAACTCTTTCTCTAGTGATGTAGAAAAAATAACACCTGGAATAGTGGGGTGGTAAGATGCTTTCATAGCAAGGTAGACAATATAAGACAACCAAGCACGGTGAAAATGAAAAAGGCCTAGGACAGTGAGAAGCACCAGAAAGAAACATCAAAGGAACTCAGTGACAAGGCAGGAGAACTGAAACTGTCGAAAGTGTGGCGAAGAAATGGAAGGGCCGAGGGCGATGGAAAGTTAAAAAAAGAAACACTGAAAGAGACTTAGGGATACGACGGGAAAGTGATTTTTTTTTTCAATTGTACGACTATTTTTATTTTTATTTTTATTATATTTTAGTGTGTGTGTGTGGCAAAGTGAAAAATAGTGTGAGATTGAAACGAGGTATGCATTAGCCATAAACAATCGGTGGAAAGGTTGAACCGATTGTATGAACACGTTTTTTAGCAAAGTTTTTAAAGGAGATTTTCGATGAGTAGTTAATCAAAAGTTTATGGACCAATAGTAGGGCAACTCTTTACCTTTGTCCACCCTAATGACGTTGTGTTGGCGATAGTAGAAATAATTGGGCACTATGC